CCCCAAAACCCCAAAACCCCAAAACCCCAAAACCCCAAAACAGGTGTTAAAGAATGAAAATATATTTATTTAATTCCAAATGGGGAAAGCTAAGAAGAGGTCTAGCAAAAGCGATAGCAAAAAAGAAACCAAAGAACCTCAACAGGATACTGCAAAGGGTGAGAACTTTGATAACATCACTTTCATAAATAGACCAGTCACTTGCATAGCTACATTGATTAAGGTAAGCAGAAAGAGCTTCTGCTCGGATTTTGAAATTGAGTTTTAGGCAGTCCTTATTTGTTATAGATCATTTTTGAACTGATTACCTCAGCACCAGGATTTGTACTAAGACATTACATCATCTTCACCCTGTTCCCTGCACTTGTCGCAGGCTTCTACTATATTGATGGCCCACATGATGAATACAGACAGATTGTTACTGAGTTCTCCTTGTTTGCAGGATGGTGGATCGGACTTGGAATTTTATCAAGTGTGGGACTCGGAACTGGATTACACACATTTGTCTTATACCTTGGACCATATATGGCACAAGTAACAATGGCTGCAAATAACTGTAATAAATTCCCGGTATTCATTCCAAACAGATGGACTTATGAGAAATTTGGAGAATGTGAAAAATGGGAGGGGGAACCAACCATTGGTATTTTAGATATTTACTACGCACTTGCTCTGGAAGCTTTCCTTTGGGGATTTGGAACCGCTATTGGAGAACTTCCTCCGTACTTCGTAGCAAGGGCAGCAAGTTTAGCAGGAGAGACCCATGAAGAGCTTGAGAACCAAGAAGGAATGTTCAAGAAAGTTAAGGACTTCATAGAGCCAATCCTTAAAAAGCACGCATTTATCGTTGTAGTTTTATGCGCATCGATTCCAAATCCATTCTTTGATTTAGCTGGTTTAACATGTGGTCACTTTGGTATCCCATTCTTTACTTTCTTTGGAGCCACAGTTATTGGTAAGGCGCTGGTTAAGGTGTCGATCCAATCATTTTTCGTGATCATCATGTTCAGTCGCCATATAATCGAGAAAGTCTTTATAGTGGTAGCTTCAGTCTATGCCCCATTAGAACCAATCCTGAGGAAGGAACTTGAAAAGCAACAGAATAAGCTATACGAAGGCAAAAGCTCGAATGAAGAGCCATCTCTAGTCGGCCAAATTTGGGGATGGCTGGTCGCCTTGATGATTGGATACTTCGTTTACGCCTTCCTCACAGCTATTGTCCAGGACAGACTCAGAACTGATGCTAAGAAGAAGGCCTAATTTGGCTATAGTTCATAAGAAGCATTTAACCTTCAATTAGGTTTGAATTAAACGGGGTTTTGGGGTTTTGGGGTTTTGGGGTTTTGGGG